TCCTCCCATCACATCGGCCCAGCAGATCCTGTGTCATTCTGAGCAAGTGACCCCACCTCTCTGAGCCTCACTGTCCTTACCTGAGAAACGGAGAATATGTGCACAGACTTCAGTGGGTTCTGAGAAGTCAGACGCGTTAACTATGGCATCGGGGTACACCTGAGCATGTGGCCGAGTGCTGAGTAAATGTTAGTCGTGGTGTTGAGGGTGTAGAGTCCTGATTCTAAGCCCAGCTCCACCTCCTAGAGCCGTGTGACCTTGAGAAAGCCATTTCTCTGCTCCGGGCTTTTCACCTGTAATTCAGAGACAACAGAGATGTTACTAGGACCACTTTAATGGGCTGTTAGAAGAATTAAATGGGGACGCCTGAGTGGCTCAGTGGTTGAGTGCCTGCCTTTGGCTCAGGGTGTGATCCCAGAGACCCGGGATGGAGTCCCACTTCGGGCTCCCTACATGGAGCCTGCTTCTCCCTCTGCCTGTGTCTCTGCCTCTCTCTCTCTCTCTCTCTCTCTCTCTGTGTGTGTCTCAAGAATAAATAAATGAAATCTTAAAAAAAAAAGAAGAATTAAATGAACTATTGCATGTAAGGTGCTTAGCAAGATGACTGGACACAATTACTACTCAATTTGTGGTCATTATTAATGTTTACTTACTAAATTCTCTCTTGGCCTTAATTTTCCCATCTGTAAAATGGAGCACTGATCTCTGAGATCCCTTCTGGTTCTCGTTGCTCTGTCACTGAGTATTGAGGTATGGTGTCCCTGGAGCCAGGGCCCCTGGTCTGACTGGGCTCCCACCCCCTCACCATGCCCCCCACCTGTCTCAGCCTCAGCAGTTCCAAACCTCTGCACCTCACCCAGGCCTGAGCTACTTGAAAGTTCCTTTGTAAAAGAGAAGACACAACTCAACAATATCTACTTTTTTTTTTTTTTTGAGTTGCTACCGGGTGCCAAACCGAGCTTATTCCCCAAACACCTGGAAGCTGAATCATCCCCAGTCATAAAAGATGAAGACAAAGGCTGAGTGAAGTCAAATAATTGACTGAGGTGGCTCAGCCAGCAAGCGGCAGAGCTGGAACTTGAATTCAAATTGTAACAGCTATAAAAACAGCTAACTTGCTGAGAGGATGTGCTAAGCCCCCCACCCCCTTATTTTAGGATTTATTTGAAAGAGAGAATGGAGGGAGGAGCAGAGGGAGGAGAGGATCTCCAGCAGAGCCTGAGCTCAGCATGGACCCCAATGAGGGGCTCGATCCCACAACCCTGAGATCACAATCTGAGCCAAGTTGAACACTTAACTGGCTGTGCCTCCTGGGGGCCCCAACTCCTTTTATTTTATTTTTTTTATTATTTATTTATGATAGTCATAGAGAGAGAGAGAGAGAGAGAGAGGCAGAGACACAGGCAGAGGGAGAAGCAGGCTCCATGCACCGGGAGCCCGATGTGGGATTCGATCCCGGGTCTCCAGGATCGCGCCCTGGGCCAAAGGCAGGCGCCAAACCGCTGCGCCACCCAGGGATCCCCCCAACTCCTTTTAAATACTGCTTTATTGAGCTTGGTGGCCTCTGTGGGGTAGGTATTCTTGTCACTCCCATTTCACAGATGAAGAAGCAAATCTGAGAAAGACGGAACAACCCGCCCAGAATCATGAAGCTGAGGTTTCAGAGCTGGTCTTAGACCGAGTCTGCCCAGGCTGATGTCCAGCTGTACATCTGACTGGTGTTCGCTGCCCTCCAGTCTCACAAGCATCGGAGGCCACTGGGCGGCCTCCCCGGCCAGCCCCAAGTGCAGCTGCTCGTACCGGACGCGGGAGCTCCGCAAACCCCAGAAAAGGCTGCAGGAGCAGGCAGCCTGAGAATCGGGTGGGCTCCTGCACAGCGGGCAGCACTGGTTATTTTAAAGCAAGGCTTCCGAGGAACTCCTCAAGTTGTATGCACACTGTGAACATGTGTGCACGTGTCTCGGGAGAGTGTGCACGTACCTTCCATCAGAAGTGTCTGATTCAGGGGCGGTTGAGCATCTGCCTTCGGTTCAGGTCGTGATCCCAGGGTCCCCACAGGGAGCTGGCTTCTCCCTCTGCCTGTGTCTCTGCTTCTCTCTCTCATGAATAAATAAAATCTTTAAAAAAAAGTGTGATTCTGTGGCATGCGAGGGAACACAAGGACTATCCCCAAGGCCTCAGATGTCTCCAACCTGGCTGTTCCCAGCCTCAGGCCCAAGCCTGGCCTTCCACAAGGGACTCTCAGAGAGGGGGACTACACGTCCAGTGGGCTGCAGAGGTGAGTCCTCTCAAATAAGCAAGACTGGGCCAGCTCAGGTCCAGCATCACCGGAGAGGCTCGTGAGCCCACGGGGAAGGAAGGGAGGGATGAGCCATGAATGGTTCTAGGTACTGATGTATGTAGCGTGCGTGCGGAATTTATTATACAATGAATTTTATTCAATTAAACTTGAAGTGCGTCTGGATTCTTAAAGGTTCAGTAGTGATGACTGGGACAGAGCGATCATAAAACTGGATGGGCTGTCGGAAGAAGGTGTCGGGGAGGAGGCAAGGGTGACATTGCAGCTGACGGGGGATTCAGATCCGGGACGTTTGTCACAGGGATGTGTTACAAGTTCGGGCTGAGAAAATTACTCGGTGAAAAATGCACATTAACAATAGCCAGGAGATATCAGTTAAGGGAAACTAGGTTGAGAAATGAGACAGCAGAATCTATTAACGTGTGACATTGTTCTCGGCGGCCCAGGTTGTGATTAAAACGGCTGTCAAGGGGCGGTGGAGGGGGAGTCGCGGGGCCCCCCATCCTGGACCCACACCTTGGTGCAGACTCCTTGAGACAAGAGGCTTCCCCTCCTCGAGCCGGTTTTATCCCCCGCAGGGTGTGCCTGTTCCGGGGCTGCTGTGAGGTCTGGAGGAGCATGAAGTCTGTGGTGCCCCCAGACTGTGGCCCAGCACAGGGCAGGCCGTCCCCACTGGTGGCCGGCATGATGATTACGTGCGGTTCTCTCTGACACACCGCCCAACCACCAGCTGCTCTCTGCAAGGGTACTAAACACGTCCCCGAGAACCCAGCCTGGGCTAGGGGTAGGCAGGCGAGGCACTTTACTGGGTGCCAGTGTCGGCGAGTGCCCAAACCCCCGGGGAATCAAGGTAAATACAATTTTCATGCAGTATTTTTTAAAAATCAAAATTATGCAAAAGACTTAGGATCAATGAGGAATCACCAATTTTTTTTTAAGTCATCTCTATGCCCAACATGGGGCTTGAACTTACAACCCCATGATCAAAAGTCACAGGCTCCTCCGACTGAGCCAGCCACGTGCCCTGAGGCATCACAATTTTACGTAAAAGCAGCTGTTTCTTTCCCAACCCTGCACTTGTGTGCAAGGGGGACTATCCCTTGTGAGCGTAGACAGATTGGGCAACACGGGCTTTGTACTTAGTTGTGTGTTTTTACTGTGGAGCTTGGTGTTAATGTTTCAGGCACGGGAGGGTATTCTGGTGAGCGCACACAGGGTGTGCATCTTCCTTTTGCTCCTGGCTCCACGGCGGCTTTGTACGGCACTGCAGAGCAGCGAACGTTTCACACCAGTCCGTCCCTGGGTGCCCAGAGTAGGCCGCTTCTGTGTTTCCCGGGCTGGCCACACAGGAGGCCCCTCCAGAGCTGCGACGCCTGCCCTGCACCTGGCCCGTTTCTGGGGGCAGGTCTGCCCGCCAAAGCGAGGAGGCTGAGGCAGGGCCTGGGAACTTGGAGTGAACTTCAGGCCCACCCCAGCCCGTCCCAGCAAGGGCTTGTGGAGCCAGGATTTGGCAACAGGCCAGCTGCTTTGTTTCGAACCCTCACTTGATGCTTCTCTGGTCCTTTGTAGGGTGTCTGACCGTGGCTAGGAAGGAGGGTGGAGTTGTCGTTTCAGCATATACGTCTTGCTCCTTCCAGGAAGATCTGGAGGAGGAGGGGCTGAACGGAATGGAGTGGGCGCCTGTAAGCTCCTGAGCAAGCTGCCCCCTGGCCCAGCCTGCATGTCGGCAGGGCAGCTCGTCACCTCAGTCTCTCCTGAAGTGTAGGTGCTTTCAACGCTTTGGCCCTGCTCACCAGCCCTGAGCACCTGCTGTGTACCTGAGCTGGCGCTGACCGCTGGGCGGGGCTGGGGAGGCCCCGGAGGGACCTCACCTTCGCCCACACTCGGCTTGGGAAACCCCGGGGACCCAGCAGGATCAGTCAGGGGCACCTGTTCCTGCAGCAAAACTAACAGACACGGTGGTAAGAATGAGAGCCACAGCAGGCCCACGCCTGATTGCTTTACCGTCCACGGACAGGCTGGCAAGGTGGCAGCCAGAGTGACACGGCTTCCCGGGCTGAGCAGGGGCTCGCTGAGGGAATGACCGCTGAACTGAGTTCACCAGGCGGCTCGGCCCCAGCACTTCGCAAGAGCCTGCCCTTTTGGAGTCATTTCCTGCAATTAGCAGCGTGCAGCCTTCACATTCTCTGGGCCGCCTCCTTGCCCTGCATAAATATCCCCTTCCCAAGGACACAGCTGGCACTGGCAGTGTCGTTTTTGTGGTTGGGGGGGGCGGGGAGTGGTGACAAGAGAAATAAAATACAGCAGAGGCACGGATCTGAGAGGCCTAAACCAGCAGACAGAAGTCCTCCTCTGAGCGATGCTGTCCCTCTCACCAGGGTCTCTGTCCCTCTTCCCTCAGCACCCCTAGGGAGGGAGGCTCCCCTCCAGGAGGGGGCTCTCTGGGCTGCACTCCCGCCACGCACCCCAGCTGTCCATCCCCTACAGAGGTGGGGCTGGTGGCTCCAAGTGGCCCAAACCTCCAAATCCTGTCTCCCTTCCCCTTTATAAATGTGACATTTAAATCCCCTTTGGCACAGCTAAATCACAATTACGTGTCCAAGGGCCTCTGGCACCGTTCCAAATCCTCATGGCACCTGAGCTGGTAGCAGCAGGGCTCTCTCAACACACGCACACGCATGCACGCACGTGTGCACACAGCTCAAGCTCTTCCCACTTTTATTTTTTTCTACGTGGCTCTTCCTTGCAGCAGTCACTTTACCTTCTTTTTCTGCAGTACTGAACTCATTCATTCCCACCCAGGAGAGCCTAGGGGAGTGGGCAGGAGTCTCGTCCAGCGCCCCTGGCGGAGATCTGCAGGGATCAGGACAAGAAGGACAAAGTCTTCACCTCCGAGGGGGCTGCACATCTCCCCTTCTGCACTACTTCCAAGTGCCGCAGGCTCAGGCCGACGGGTCATTTTTCTTGTATATTTTTTCCTGATTCCCCTCTTTCATGGCCACGTATCTGGCTAATGTGAAGAGATAGTCGCTGAGTCTGGAAGGGCAGAGAGAAGCAAACGGGAGGATTTGAAATGAGAGGTCAATGCTAACCAGGTCCTTCCCATATTAGCCTTCAAGGAGGAAATATAAATCACCAGCTCTAGGAGCATCAGGCAGGATGGCGGGTGCTCAGCCAACTTGGCCTTGATGGATGGCCCTCCAGGCCAGCTTCTGTGACTCTAGTGCCAGGGCTGGGGTGGTTCCTGCCAGTCAGGCCCCTCCCCAGGCTGGTTTCTGCACCTTCCAGGGACCAGGATGGAGACATCCAGCCTGTCCTTAGGGAGCCTGCAGTGAGTTCAGGAAGCTACCCACCTCTCAACTGTCCCCCACTTTTCCTTGTCACCACCCTCCTCCACCTCTCCTGGCCCCAATCCTATTCTGAGGCCAGTGCCATGCCCGGTCTGGCTGGAACCTTCCCTGACCCACACCCTCCCAGGGATCGAGCCCCCCCCCAGCAATGCCTGGCTGTCTCTCCCAGGGATCGAGCCCCCCAGCAATGCCTGGCAGGGGTTGGAGGGAGCAGTACAAGAGATTCTGCTCTTGGTGTCTCTCGCTCCTGGGGGTGGTGGTGGTGACATACTTGTTTCTCATCTGCTCAGTGAGGCCTTCCTTGCTGAGGAAATGAACTGGTTCAACCCACACAACACTCAGAGACCATAATGTTCCCCAAAGGTCACTGCTGTGATGATGATTGGAAGCTTCCTCGCTCCTCTGGGGCCCACCCACCTCCCAGGAAGAACGGAGCTGGTCAGGTCACATCCCAGTGGGAGGAGCAACCACAGTGAGGGGCCAGACCCTGACTGTGAAGTCTCTGGACACCCAGGACAGCTCTCAGGGGCCTGGGTTCTCAGCCTGCCCTTGGGCCCTGACCTGGCCTACACTGGAACTGCATGAGCCAAGGCTGGAACAGAATCCACTGAAGCCCTCCCTGGGCCAGTCCAGCTCAGAGGGCCCTGAACTGGCTTGGCCTGGCCATTTCTTCTCAGTTCACATAGCCCCGGGGCTTTGCAGGGAAGGGCTGAGAGATTCCTGCCTGAGCTCCCTGGTCCTGAAAGTGGGGCCCCTAGCTATACACTGTCCCTTTGTTCTGTTTTGTGTTGTTGGTTTTTATAGTAGGTCTCCCAGTGAGACCTTTACCTCCCCAGGGACAGAGATGGTACCTGCCTTGTTCTCAGCAGCATCTCTGTAGCCAGCAAAGCAGCTGGGACATCACAGGTCCTCAGAGGATATGAGGAATGAAGAAGTGTGTGGGGCCCCAGGCCTTTGGTTACTTCCCACAGGGGCCTCATTTTTCAAAGGTGTGAGACCCTCTGAACCCCAGCTAAGTACCTGTTTAAGAACTTGGCCACATTAGCGTCGGTCTCACCCATCTGGACAAGAGGCACCACACTGGAAGAAGAAACAATGTAGGTCTCTCGTACGTTATGGGATTGATGTCCCGGGGCCCCCCCGGGCTGCTTTCGCAGCAGCACCTCCAGAGCTCGCAGCAGCCTCCCCAGTGTCCTCGCCAATCTGGGTGCAGACATCCCACACGGTGGCCTACTTTCTGTTGAGCACCAGCGATGTGGTGGGTCCTTCCTAGGGCCCTCACACCTACCACGTGTGTCACCTCTGCCACAGAACTCTGGCGAGGAGGTACCCTCCCCCAAACCAGAGCTCTGGGCTCGTGGCCCCTGCCACAGGGTTTTTTTCATCCCACAGGCACACCTCCATCTCCCTGCTTGGGGTACTCAGGACCCTTCCTCCACTCGACTAACCCCCACTGCTGGGCCTTTGGGTTTTTTGCTATGATGAGCATTGCTGAGGCGGATGGTTTTGTACAAATGACTGTTTCTTCTTTTGAGGCTGGAGCTCTGTTACCCATGATCCATTTGGTGACCATAGGGGCCCAAGAGCGTTTCATGAGAGGTGAGACCTTCATGATGTGGGGCTGTGGACAGAGCTCAGGTTTGGACCAGATGGACCCGGGCTCAAATCTGGACTCTGCTCAGGACCAGCTGGGGGACCGCCCTGGCCATGATGTCACCTCTCTGCGCTCCAATATCCTGACTCCTGTGTCCTGTTACCAACTCTCTGCCAAGGTTATTGTGAGGACTCGATGAAATGATGCACAGAAGTGCCAGCATAGCCCTGCCTACTGTGTCAGGGTGGTGCTTTACTTCCATTTCTCTGTAAAGCTGGGTGCCAGCTGGCCTAGGAGTGGTACGAATGGACACTTTGCAGGGAGCTCTTTTAAAGTTTCTCTGAAAAGCCCGTCAGTAGCTTTTGGGGGCCTCTCCTCTCCCTGACTAAGTCAAGGGTGTGGGCACAACGCTGGGCTGCTCTGTTCACAGCTTACCCCCCTGGGCCCCCCAGAGCCATGTGGGCTCCTCTGGGCCCTTCTCTACTCTATGGCCTAAAACCCATCAATGGCTTCCTGTCGCTCTCAGGGGATGGCGCAGACCCCTCTGCACCTACGAGGCTCTGCTGGGCCTCTGGCCTCATCGTGCCCCACATCCCCTCTCACTCTGGATCCCGACATCCAGCCTCCTCTATGTCTATTCAGTGCGGATGTTGCCTCTGCCCCTGCTGTGCCCTCGCCCTGCACACCATCCCCCCCTACCCCCCCTCCTTCCACTCCTGGCTGACAGTGTGCCTGGGAGAGGCCCTCCCTGTGCCCACTGCACCACCCCTGGTGTGGGGTTCTCCCCTCACCTCAGCCCGGCTGCCACTGCCCCACTTACATTAACCCCCAGGAACAAGGAGTCTTACCCGGATTCTCTTGACTTTCATACCACACGAGTATAGAATTATAAATAACCAGCTAAACCCACCAAGGCCCCCTCCTCTCCTCCTACCCTGTTCACCTGTAACCTCTTGTTTCTCCGGAAGCTCAGATCTTGATGTGGTGACATCATCTGTCACCCATCTGCCCCTGGATCACTGACTCCCTTCCATTCTGCAGGACTCTGAGGACAGAGCCTGGTACAGTGACGGTGGCAGCTGAAGGTCCGTCAGTGGACAGCTGGATGGCACAGAGCTGACCCCCCAGGCCTGCCTGCTACTGACCCGGCCCCCCCACCCCGCCCTCACCCTCTCCCTCGGCCCCCTTACCGTCTCTCTGCTCGGCGGCACACAGCCCGACAGAAGTGCAGTGCACAGCTGCTCTTGCCCCCTGACTGTAGAAAGTGGGTATTGGCTGGAGTGGGGTGGGGGGAAGGAGGGAAGCGTGGGGGTGCAGGTGTGTCCAGGGCAGACAGGGAGCCCCTTGGACAGCTGGACCAACAGATACATAGGGCCCTGCCCCCCGCCCCCCAAATGGGCAGCTTTATGCTTTGAGGGAGCCCTGCACACCCGCTGTGTGACCCCCCCCGAAGCCAAAGCAAGCAGGGGTGGGGAAAGGCTGGTGAGGGTCTGGAGGGCACTTGGGAGGCTGGTGGACACCTCCTATCGCTGGCAAAAATTAAAAAGGGGACTTATTCAATGCCTGTGTGTTTCTGTGAATACACTTGGCCTATAGCCACCCCCTGGTTGAGACCACTTGGTACCTACCGGCAGAATAAAAGCCGTGAGTGGTGGGAGCTGGTTGGAATATTTGTCAATCCACTGCTCCAGCTCCAGGATGGGCCCTGCCTCAAATGTAGCATGTTCTGAGGAGTTGAGAAGCAGAAGGACACAGCCATGAGGTCCATCGTCCGCCAGACCAAGGAAACCACCCTATGTCTTTTGCCCAGATGCTCTGCAAACCACTCCCACTGGCTCAGGAAGTCCTTCCTTCTTGAGGTCTAAGGGCCAGGCTGCCAGGGGTCCCAGGTGACACCCAGGACAGAGCCCCACCCCCTCAGGCCGAGGCCCCTCCAGGGCCCTCTAACACACGCCATAGGTTCAGAGAGAAGATTACTTAAGTGAGCCTCCCTGGCCGAAGAGTGCGGTGTCGCCAGGGCAGAGCCGACGTCCTGCAGCGAGCACTGGATCTGGGGAAGCAAGAGAGGGTGAGAATGAAGATCCATTCCCAGCGGGCCAAGCAGAGATGACCTGACTGCATATGCAGAGGTGCCGCCTGACACCAGCAAGACTAGCAGGGGCTGACCTGATGGGGATTATCTGAACCTTCCATTAGCCAGCATTTGAAGGCTAACGAATTTTAAAAAGTCCTTCCGAACCTTCTGCATCCGAACCTTGGATGCTGGTTCTGAGCATCCGTAGGTCCCTTGGGAACACCTGGGGTACACAATGAGCAACAATGGGCCCACTGACGGCCCAGTGATGAGTATCTTCACTCTGTCCTCGTCTCCCTTCTGCCTGGACCCTGTGACCCCTTTTCTCCCAACTGATGGCTTTGGTTTGTCTGACCTGTAACAGCTGGGCCAAGTCACCAAATGTGACAGTGCTTTCTGAACTATAAAGGACAAGTATCTGAGAATGTGGTCAGCCCCCGTGTGACTAATGGCCCACAGGAACCTGTGCCAGGGACACCTTCAAACACTGCCCCTGACTTTGTGCCTTGCCAAAGTCCACTTGAGCTGTATGGGGGGCTGTGGGGTGGGCAGAGGTCCGTGACACCTGCTAAGACCGCCCCTATGACAGCAGGCCAGGAGCGGGACATAGGGGATGAGATCAGACACTGCCTGCCCGCAGTGGACTGGAACCCTCCTTGGGCTGCCACTTGGGTGAGTTTCTTGAGCACCTGGTGTCTCTGGGGCTTCCGGTGAGAGGCAGAACAACAATACTTACTACCCCACTGGTTGGCCAACTGCAGCGTTTACCCCCAGGACAGGAGGGAGCTGGCACCAGTTTGGGAATCGGATCGCAGTTTTGCTGATTCCCGGCCGGGGAGCCTGGGGCAAGTGGCCCTTTCAGAGTCTCTGTGTTGCCCACGCAATGTGGACGTTAACCTCCAGCTCACAGGCTTCTGCGGGGAGAGCAGTGTGTGGGCTGCCCGGCACTCTTCCATAGGCCCTGCAAGCAGGCCCTGGTGGGACTCCCAGGTGAAGAAGCCACAGTCTGCACCCTCAGGGGGCCCAGGTCAGTGGGGAGACAGATGGATCAGACATGTGACACCCTCTGTGGTGCCTGCTGTCAGATACGGAAGGGCAGGAGCTGTGGAGACCAGCAGGGGTGCCTAACCCAGCTAGAGGCCGGGTGGCCAGCCAAGGCCCCGGAGCAGGTGATGTTGAAGCTGTGACCCAGAGTACAGAGGCCTAAAGCACAGGTAGGTTTGTCACATCACTGCCAGCCTTTTCCCTCTGCAAACTCTGCTCAGAGCTGACCACGACGTCTAGAAACAACCACGGTGGATGTGAACAATTCTCCATCATGAGGCTGCAAACCAGCCTCCAGTGCACAGGTGCCTCATTCACAGAACGTTCCAGCAACTGAAGCCTCCTGTCCTTCTGCACCCCCCTCATGGCCCTCTGTCTGCTCCTGTGCATTCTAGGGCGGTGTGCCTGCCTCCACTGTTGAAGTGCTGTCCATGGCTTGGAGCCTCCATGCTTCCTAAGGAGCAGAACACGGAGACTAACAGCCATAAATTCCCCTGGCTGAGGGCTAGCTGACACTGGCCTTCCCAGCTTTCTCCACCTCCGGGCTGCCTATGTCTGGGACCAAGGCATTCTCTGCCGTAGGGGCACCCCTATGCCTGCCAGGAAGTTAGCTGCCCCCCTGGCCTCTACCAACTAGATGCCAGTGACACCCCACCTCCACTTAAACACCAGACACTGCCGAGCGTCCCCTGGGTGATAGAATCGCCCTGGATCAAATCCACTGCTTTACACGTCCCCCTCCAGGTGCTGTCCTCAGCACTCCCGGTGCTGTCCTCAGCACTGGGAGGAGGATGATCTGCATCCCGATTTCACAGGTGGAGAAACTGAGGCTCCCAGAGAAAGAGTGATGAGCCCCAGGTGGCAGACAGAGAAAGAGATGGTCAGATGGCAGACCCAGGCATGGCCACCTGGCCGCACAGATGAATATCCCAACGTGGGGCGACACATTGCTACTCACTTTCTGAAGCTCTTCAGCAAAGGGGTGGCCTTTTTCTGTGATGAATTCCAAAGCAAATCTATGAGGAAAAAGAAAAGAATGTGCCTCTACTATAACGTCCCTGGACCCTGCCTTACATAAGGCAGCAAGTTCTCAGGTGGTAGGTCCCTAGCTAACATAGCTCTAACACACACACTGTTATCTTTCCTGCTGACAGGAAGAACGTCATAAACTTTCATTTGGGTGGGGGATGTTTGTTGCTCAAATGCCTTTTTCTATACTCGTTACTCGTCCAATGAACACTTCCCTTTTCAGGGCCTACTCTGGCCTGATCTAGGCAACCCAGTGTGAGCGCATGTAACACAGGCTCTGTTTAGCAGGAGATGGAGATGTGCACCGGGTATCACAGGACTCAATGTGAAGTTGCAAACTATGCTTAGTGCTCCGGAGGGAAGGGCCGGAGTCCTAGTCCTGGGAACCTCGGCCTTGGCTGGGGTTCAGGGAGGGCTTTCTGGAGGAAGCAGTGTTGGAGGTGGGACTTTGAAGGCTGAGTAGGAGTTCCCTGGGAAGGCAGGTGGGACGAGAAACGCTAAGCATCCCAGGCACAGAAGGACCCCAGCTTCTGCCTCTCTCCAAACTCTGCTCCCTCTCTCTGTACCATTCAGGGCCTGGCAGGTGCATTCGCAGGGTTCCTTGAGGAAAGGCCGGGGAAGGGACTATGAACAGGGTGTGGGAAGTTATGGAAACTGACAACAGATGGCGAAGATAAGCAAAAACAGGGGTTTGAAGAGGCAAGGGAGGGTCAACGGCGCTACCGACCCAGGAGAGCTAGATTCTCAGCGGAGCCACCGCCAGGAGCCATGCAGCTGGCTGCGTGAGAGTCACTGGGGAATGGGGGACAGAATACTCCCACACCTGTCCCCATCACTGTCCCATCTCCTGCTGGTGCCTCCCACTGGCTGGACCCACCTGGAAGCCAGAGGGAGAGGGGACTGGTGTGGGTGGTGTGTGTGTGTGTCAAAGGGTGACCACGTGATGCAGGTCACCTCCTGGGCACACCAGCAAAGACAAGGGAGAATGGCCTCAAAGGGCCAATGAAGAACTCCCAGTGCACCTTCTTAGCCCATCCTACAGTCAGGACCAAAAAGACAAATGTGTCTGTCATCTAGTGTGGGTCTCCCCCTTCAGACGGCAGGGAACGAGTCTGCAGGCCAGACAGTTTGCCTTGAGCACAGCAGTATCCTCCTGCCTGGCACAAAGCAGGCGCTCAGGGGCAACCTCACTGAGGGCATCCACATGATGTGGGCCACGTGTGGGCCCCCACCACCTGTAGGAGCCCCTCTGGGGTCTGTCTGCCCCCCAACTGCAGCCCCCTTGGACTGTGCACTCTGCGAAGCCTGTGCACTCTGTGGGCTGAGGTGCTCTGCTTAGTGGTGCCAGGCACACGGAGATGTTCGCTCACTATCTGACAAAGAGTCCACAGCTTGGTGTCCCCGATCTCCTGCCCACAAAGATGGGGGGGGTAGCTTGCCGATGGGCTAATTCTAAACAGCTAATGCTAGAATGCACCTTCATTTCCCCCTGCCCACTTTACCTTGTTCTGCCCCCGACCCCCACCTTCACAAACACACCCACAAGTCGGCCTTCTCTACTCTTCTGCCAGGACCTCTGCACCTGTCATTCATTATCTGCCCTGAGTATCTCACCTAGTCAGATGTGGCATTGAGAAGCTGCGGCCATGCACGCACACCTGAAGGGTGGGGGAGCCAGGGATGGAGGGGTGAGGCAGCTTCGCGTGGCGTGGGACAGATGCCAGGCAGGAGCAGGCGGTGCTGGGAGGCAAAGGTGCCTGCAGCCCGGGAGCCTTGTGGCACTGACCCCATGTGCCTGTGCTGCCAGGCCGAGGCACGCTCATCGAGGGTTGGCAGCCCCCCGGGGACCAGCCAGCACTCTCAAGAGCTCCACGTGAATTACACTGATGCCAATTCAAACCCAACCTCGAGGCCAATGCTGTCTGCCTTACCCAATAGCTGAACTTAATTCATCTGTAGTTCCCACGGCTTCAAACACTTGGTCATCTTTAGGTCTCCTTTCTCCAGTGAAAGTGCTAGAAAACCCTGTGAAAAAATGTTTAGCCACCCAAATTAAGATTTTTTGGTGGTCCTGATATGCTCTTTTTAAAAAACTTTCCACCTGACATATAACAGGAAAGTGCTCAAACCATAAACATACAAGTTGGGGGCGCTTGGTGGCTCAGTCACTTAAGTGTCTGCCTTCGGCTCAGGTCATGATGTCCAGGGATTGAGCCCTGCGTGGGGCTCCCTGCTCAGCGGGGAGCCTGCTTCTCCCTCTCCCTCTCTCCCTACTCATGCTCTTTCTCTCTCTAATAAATAAATAAAATCTTAAAAAAAAATAAATGTACAAGTTGATGAATTGCTACTACCTGAACACACCTCTGTGACCAGCACCCAGATCAAGAAATAGAATATGCTCAGCACCCCTGAAGCCCCCACACAACCCCCTTCAGTTGCAATCCTAAGGGTAACCACTACCTCACGTCTCTCCCGGTATCTTTGGCATCTTTTAAATATCACACTCCAGGGGATCCCTGGGTGGCGCAGCGGTTTGGCGCCTGCCTTTGGCCCAGGGTGATCTGGACCGGATCAATCCCACATCGGGCTCCCAGTGCATGGAGCCTGCTTCTGTCTCTGCCTCTCTCTCTCTCTCTCCTCTCTCTCTCTCTCTCTCTGTGACTATCATAAATAAATAAAAAAAAATTAAAAAAAATAATAAATATCACACCCCATTTGATGATATTTAGTGAGATCCATTACATAATTTTTAATGATTGAAACGATTTCGCAGAACTTTAAAATAGCGTTAACCACCTTTTTTTTTTTGCATGTTTCACCTGCCCCCTACCTTTGTCTCCTGTTTTGGTGTATATCTTGGGGATCCTGGGTGTCTTTGAGGAAGACTGTGGCCTGATGAGAAACAGACATCAAGATGTGGTGAGTGGGGATGGCTTGCCCAGGGCGACACCTCCCTCAGTGGGTCACAGCTGGCTGCTTATGGCCTGAGGTGGCACTTACCCCTCCTCTGCTTGGATCTCTGTTGACATCATTCCCCTCCTTTCTTTCTAGCTAAGTCCTTTGTGGACAAGCTCTGTGTCTTGCCCGTATATGTATCTGCAGAGTAGCTCATGCTTAATAAACATGGAAAGAGTTTATTGATCCCTTTCCATAACCTCTGCACTGTTCTAACTGGATTGCTGGCATTCATCTCCTGGAATCATCTCTGGGATCTTCCCACAGCCCCAGAAGGTGGGAACTACCTACGACATTCATTTTTCTGTTGAGAAAACTGGAGCTCATGGGATGACTTGCCTCCCCAGGTCACCCAGGAAGGAAGCCATAAGGTTGGGATTCATGCCCAAGACTACCTTACTTCACCCAAACTCTCTTACTTCCACCCTGACTTGTACCCGCCCAAACTCTTAGCCTCTAGTCCGCCGCGCCAGGGCTTCTTGCAGAGAAGGCAATCTGGGCCACTTCCATCCTATGAAGCTCCAAGTAGGCCCGGGAATGAAGAACTGCCACAACAGGGTCGAGTTCCGGCCTTTCCAAGTAGCACGGGAACACCTTGAATACAGGCTCCAACACTAAAACGTGGCATCACAAGCTCATCGGAAACGTTCTATCACTGGATCTATGACATACACTGACCCAGGTATTCATTCATGGTGCTCTGCAGGTCCTGAGGCCCAGGAATGGGGGTGCAAGCTTCAAGGTCTAGGATACCGGCCGTCTCCGGATCGTGTTGGCGCACCTCTGCGTCTTGAGGTATAAGGTGCCTTGGAGGCAGGTCAAACTCTGAATTGAGACCCCACCTGAGCGTGAGGCCGGGCAAGGAGGCCTAACTGGCCCCCGTGGATATGCCTGCCCTGCCTGATGATGAGGGCCGAGGTTCCTTCTCATTATTTGTACAAAGAAACCTCGGGGTCGGGATCCCTGGGTGGCGCAGCGGTTTGGCGCCTGCCTTTGGCCCAGGGCGCGATCCTGGAGACCCGGGATCGAGTCCCACGTCGGGCTCCCGTGCATGGAGCCTGCTTCTCCCTCTGCCTGTGTCTCTGCCTCTCTCTCTCTCTCTCTCTCTCACTGTGTGACTATCATAAATAAATAAAAATTAAAAAAAAATCTTTAAAAAAAAAAAAGAAACCTCGGGGTCTGGCCTCCACGGTGCCCACGTGCCGCGGTGACGTCACGACCAAGAGCGGCTCTCACAGCGGTGTGACGTCACCACGGCGACGACACCGCAATCCACGGCAGGTGTCCAGGTACCCTCCCAGCCAGGCACTCACCCGTCCCCGTCTTCCACGCCCTGGGAGCGGCGCCTCTGGAAACGGGGACACAGTAGCCCACGGGCGCCGACGCCCCCGCGCAGGCCCAGGCGGCCTCCCAGGCCCCACACAGCCATGCGCGCGGCTGCTCGTCGGGGGCTGACCCAGCCAGGCTCCCGTCCAGGCACCGCGGGCGACTCCACCTACCTCTGGCCGCGCCACCGTTCAGCCGCCGTTTTCTATTGGCTTGCGGCTCTCGACCCGGGGCGGGACACTCCCAGGGGCTTGCTTCCCATTGGCTTGCGGAAGGGGCGGGGAACCCGTGACAGCTTGGTTGACCATCTATTGGCCAATGGTCAAGCCAATCGCTTAACGGCTCGAGCGCTCTGATTGGCGGAGAGATAGGACGATTTCCCCGGACAGGGGCGGTGCTCGGGGACTAAATCCAGAGCCGTTCGGGCTTGGGGTCCCAGGACCACCTGAGGCCAGGTGAGGACGTGGGCTCGCGCGGCCGGCGGCGCGAGGTTGGAGGCTGAGCCCCAGCGCGACCTCGGGCCGCGCTTTTGGCTCCTCTGGCTCAGTTTCCCCGACTCTGGGAGTCCGCCCCGAGCGCCGGGCGAGCTCGAATCCGAAGTGATCCGGAGCTTCGGGCAAGCAAGTGGATGGATTTCCTGGCGCCTTGCCTCAGTTTCCCCCGCTAAGAAACGGGGGAATCACGGTAGTACTCGGCTCACAGTGCGGCTCGGGCCTTACCGTATTAAGGTAGTGCACGTGAGGCCTTAAACGGATGGTGATTCTGCCTGATGTGTAAAAATCTACAACACTTGTGGACCGAGCGAGTCACTTTCTAGGACTCTGTGATGCCCAGATGCTGGCGTGGGCGCGCAGGAGGGGGCTCGACAGCTGTTTGTGCAGCCCATGGTAAAGCATCGTGAGGCATGGGAAACAGCCTAAAAGTCCAGGGAGGCGTTCCTTCGGGCCCCTGATTGCACTTAACTCTCCACCTTCAGCAGTAGCGATAATAAAAGCTGGAACCAAGAACAGAGCCAGCAATAAATAGCTATCCGTAGTGGAATGATCATATGCCAGACGCTGCCAGGTGTTCCGCTTGCTTTGTTTAATGTAACCTTTCCAAACCCCATCGAGGTAAGTACAGTTCTCGTTCTCCTGTAACCTGAGGAAACCAAGTTGCCTAGCCGTTTGAGTGAGTTGGTGAAGAAGACCTCACTGGGGAGGGGAAGAGCTGGGGTTTGAACCTGAGTCTTCCTGATGTGTTTAATGTGCTGCTGCACTGCACAGTCTTTGGGGCGCATGGCATGTGCTGAATGGTAGCTGCCTTTTTTGTTAGATGATAAGTTTGAACGGGCATCTCTAATATCTCTAAGATCTGGGTCCTTTCATCCCCCTCTGGCTCTGTCTTTCAGGGTTCTCGGGAGCCATGCTGTCAGAAGTCCTGCTGGTGTCCGCCCCAGGGAAAGTCATCCTTCATGGAGAGCATGCCGTGGTCCATGGCAAGGTAAAGCCCCCCCCCCCCCCCCGAGCCTCTGAGAACTGGGCACCCTTTCTCTCTGACCCTAAGCTAAAAGGAAGCCTGAAGGCATCGCCTGGGAATACATGAGAGAGAAGACCAGTTTCTCTGCAACACAGCAGGGAAGAGACGGGTCTTACACCCACCAAAGTGCTTCTCTGGTCTCACCCAGTAAGAGCACAAAGCTGAAATGTAAAGCTGTGTCAGGGATCCCTGGGTGGCTCAGCGGTTTAGCGTCTGCCTTTGGCCCAGGGCGTGATCCTGGAGTCCCGGGATCGAGTCCCACGTCGGGCTCCCGGCATGGGCCTGCTTCTCCCTCTGCCTGTGTCTCTGCCTCTCTCTCTCTCTCTCTCTCTCTCTCTATGTCTATCATATATAAATAAATCTTTAAAAATAAATAAATAAAATCTTTAAAAAAATGATTTATGAATTTAAAAAAAAAAAAGCTGTGTCAGTGGGATGAGTCAACCTGGAAGGTGGGCTTCAATGGGAGCACTGAGCTCTAGGGCACCCCAACATTCAGAAATGGAGAAGATGGGTAAGATCCAGCAAAGGAATCTGAGATATGCATTATCTCATTTAACTCTTAAGAGGGCCCCCGAAGTTAAACTTTGATTATCCCATTTTGCACATGTGGAAGCAGAGGCTTAGGAGAGGATTGGTAGCTTGACCAGGGTCCTCTGCACCTTGGCAGAACTGGGAATGAACCTGAGTCTGAACACATTGCTCATGCTTTTTCCGCTCCTCTGCTCTGTCATGCTTTATGTTCTTAACTTATATTTATCCTTGCTAACATGGTGATTGTGGGGAAGCCATTCCTTGGTTTTGAGGACCTCTGAGGTTTTGCATGGGTCGGGCAAGTATAAGATGTTAACTATCCTAACTGATAGGTAGCATCTGTGCCACATAGGAGGAGGGCATGCCAAGGTTGATCAGAGGCATCTGCCAAGGGCATAGGTGGGCATGCCCTGTATACCAGTATGTGGTCTCTCTCCTCAGCACATTGACATTAACCCCTGTTTTTAAGACTGGAGCCAAAGTCTTTGCAACCCCACCCCTACCCCATGCTCATTGCTTTTGCCATTTATTCTACAGATAGCCCTGGCTGTGGCCTTGAACTTGAGAACATTCCTCCGGCTTCAGCCCCACAGCAATGGGAAAATGTGCCTCAACTTGCCGAACATTGGCGTCAAGCGGGCCTGGGATGTGGCCATGCTTCAGCTGCAGGACACAAGCTTTCTGGGTAAGTGCAGTGAGAAGGAACCAGGTGTTCAAGAGCCTGGGCTCTGACCAGACGGGGAAGGGGACAGCTGGGTAGTTATCCTCAGCCATCCCTGAGGGGGCTGGAGACCAGCCACTCCAGGAGTGTTTTCTCTCTTGATCCTGTAAAGTTACCTTTACTTACCTTTTTTTTAAAATGAGTGTCACATGATGCACTAGGTCTCTGTGGGCTGTGGTGGACTGATCCTCAAGGCCCATTGTTGGGTGAAAAGCCACAAGATGCAAATAGTGTGTATCTGAGGAAAGGCCCAGCTTTAGTATCAGTACATATGTACACACGGTGGTGATTAGTTACCTCTGAGAGGGTCCTAAGCTCTGAGTGGACAAAGGGAGCCTTCCTTATGGAAGATGGTTTTGACGAGAAGAAGATATTGATTGGTGTTGGGTATCATTCAAAATCATTAAAAATAAAAGTAACATACTTGTTAATTGTTAATCTCTAAAAAACAAACAAACAAACAAACAAAAAAAAACCAGCCCGGATGGCTCAGCAGTTTAGCACTGCTTTCAGCCCAGGGCGTGATCCTGGAGACCCAGGATTGAGTCCCACTCCAGGCTCCCTGCATGGAGCCTGCTTCTCCCTCTGCCTGTGTTTGTGCCTCTCTTTCTGTGTCTCTTATGAATAAATAAATAAAATCTTAAAAAAAATAATAAAATTAAGTTAAAAATATAAATAAATAAACAAACAAACAAATAAATAAATAAAAGAATGGGGATTGTGGTGAAAGCGGACCAGATAGGTGTATTTTTTTTTTTAAGATTATTTGTTCATGAGAGACAGAGACAGAGAGAGGCAGAGACACAGGTAGAGGGAGAAGCAGGCTCCCCGTGGAACTGATGTGGAACTCGATCCCAGGACCCTGAGATCACACCCTGAGCCGAAGGCTCAACCACTGAGCCAACCACTGAGCCACCCAGGCACCCCCAGGCAGGTGTATTTTGAAAGAAGTTCCCTGGGTGATTCCAGGAATATCCTCCATGAAGAGCCCGTAGTGCTTTGGAGCAGGCCTCAGAAAATGGCCATCCAGAGCAATCCAGACCTTGCTTTCCCTGGTGCACAGGGCCTCCCCTCGAGGCTGGCTGCTGCTTTCGTGTGTCAGTAGCACTGGTGGGAGCAGGCAGGTGGCGTGGGCACATGTCCCAGACCCCTCCGCCTGCATGTGTGAGCTTGGACGGATCACTAACCCCCCTGAGCCTCCTTGAGCAGAGTCCTGTTGCCTGGGAGGGTTGCTGTGAGGACCCCGCCGGATGCAAGGTGGGCCGGCCTGGCAGAGTGCGGGACATGAGTGAGGGCTTGGGAGTGATTTCCCCAAGGGGAAAAGGAGTATGGAACATGAGCCTTTCAGAGACATGTTTTCTACTAGATTGCCAGGCTCTTCCATCTTTTTCTTTCAGTGTTGTTTGGTTGCCTCCTAATAGTTACAACCACCATGAATGTCTCATTGGGCATCTTTATGTGTGCCAGACACTGGACTAGTGTCTCATGTACATTGGCATTCTCAGAATTCTCCAGCCCGCCTTGGACATAGATGGTGGTAGCTATCCCTGTTGTTGCTTTTTTAAAAAAAAAAAAAAAAGATTATTTATTTACTTATTTGACAGAAAGCACAAGCAAGTGGAGGGACAGAGGGAAAGGGAGAAGCAGACTCTCCACTGTGCAGGGAGCCTGATGCGGAGCTCTATCCCAGGACCCTGGGATCATGACCTGAGCCAAAGGCAGGCGCTTAACTGACTGAGCCACCCAGGCACCCCCCATCCCCATTTTATGGATGAGAAAATCGAGGTTCAGGGGTGAAGCGGCTCAGGTCACACAGCATTGTCAGTGATGCAGAAAGGATTCAGAACCAGGTCTTTCTAAACTCTCCAGAGTCTCAATGAGTCATTCTATTTCCCCTGTAGGGCCCTGAAATGTCTGCTAACTGGCTTGGCCACTTTTAGTGTGTCCTAATTTCAGGGAACACCTAGCGTTTCATGTGTCCCCACCCTAGTGTTTCCCAGCATGAGTACAGCAAGCCCAGTGTTCTGTCCCCTTAACAGCTGGACCCAGGACTCAGGGAGCTATTTGTAAAGATGAGCTGGTCAGGCTTGCTTGGCCTCGTCAGGCTCTTGGGAGACAGTGGCCCAGCTTCCTCTGTGCACTGGAAGAGAAACTGCTCCCGGGCTTCTCCCCGAGGTCCAAGCAAATCTCAGCACTTCCTGTTCTCTGGTTGTGAGTGTCCCATCCTCACGAATAGTTTTGAAAAGAGGGACACATTTGGGGAATAATTTTATATTTTTAAAGATTGTATTTATTCATTGATGAGAGACACAGGCAGAAAGGCAGAGACACAGGCAGAGGGAGAAACAGGCTCCCTGTGAGGAGCACAGTGTGGGACTTGATCCCAGGACCCCAGGATCACCACCTGAGCCACAGGCAGATGCTCAACCACTGAGCCACCCAGGTGCCCAGGGAATAATTTAATGCTTCCTTTCATTTTGGTTTTGTACTGTAGGTGTCAAATGCAGACCTTTGGGTAGTCGAGCTAGCATTCGCTTTGTGTGCATCTGTGTTTCAAGACTACCGTTAATTGAGCATGTATTACACACTAGGAGGTACACCGAGGGTCTTGCATCCTTTATTTCAGTTTATCTTAGAGGAGGTATTCCTGCTTACCAATGAGGGAAACTGGGTTCAGAGAGGGTAAGGCATGTGCTCAAGGCCAGAGCACCCATAGATGGGACAGTTGGGACCCACACCCAAGTCTGTGTGCCTGCAAAGCCGGAAGACCAACAGCAGATGCGGTCCTGGTGCTCAGGCCATGAATCCATGTCCATCAGATTCTGATTCTCACTACTGCTCGGTTTTCTGTGAAAGCGCCTGAACCCCTCTCACCCAGCCTCACATGTTGTTTGTGACAGAGCCAGGGAACACCACGGGGGACGCCGCAGCGCCCACCTCAGAGCAAGTGGAGAAGCTGAAGGAGGTGGCAGGCTTCCCCAAGGATGGCACCGACCCCGAGTGTCTGGCTGTGCTGGCTTTCCTTTACCTGTACCTGTCCATCTGCCGGAAGCAGAGGTGTGTGTGTGGCCTAGACCCAAAGCCAGATTCCTGAATCTACCACACGGCTTTTCCCATGCCGTGTCCACAGAGGCAGCCCTGTTCCATGGCCTGTGGGCTCCAGGGAAACCCTGTAATTCGCCAAGTGAAGCATGCGTCCACTCCACCCCTTAAGATAGGATCTGGGCTGTCTGCCCTCAGGGAGGCCAGCTCCCAGAGGATGGCAGTGCCGTTGAGGCAGCGTCACATGGTGATGGAGAGTTGGGTCAGGTTGGGTCAGACTCCACAACGGCTGCCTACCACCTTCCTTGAGGGTTTTACCCTTCCTGGGCCTCAGTCTCCTCATCTGTAAAATGGGGATGGTAGGCTCTTAGGCTTCTTGTGAGGGTTAGTGAGTTAATTTATCTAAAGTGCTGTGTCTGGCACACTGCCTGAGAAATACGAGATATTGTTAGGTTATTTTCATCAGAAAACTATTGGAGGATTAGAAATATTATATATAAAATGGGCCTAGCTCTATAACTAGCCCATAGGGATTTTTCACTGTGATTTTTTTTTTTTTTTTGGTCCCAGACCCAAAGGGAAAACCTCAGGAGGCACCCCTTTACTCAGACAGCAGTTGCATTGAGCAGGCCCTGGGCCAGGCACAGCGCAGAGGACACATAAATGTCTCAACTGTTGCTGTCCACCAGGAGATTTTCTTTCTTTCTTTTTTTTTTTTAAGATTTTATTTATTAATTTATGGGAGACACAGAGAGAGACAGAGAGAGGCAGAGACACAGACAGAGGGAGAAGCAGGCACCATGCAGGGAGCCCTATGTGGGACTCCATCCCAGGACTCCAGGATCACGCCCTGGGCCGAAGGCAGCGCTAAACCACTGAGCCACCCGGGCTGCCCCACCAGAGGATTTCAACTTGAGTGGGGCATGTCGCCTTCTGGGAAGGAATGCACCTTTCAGAACCTCCTGATCTGAGTGGGGCGGGTGGTTGCAGTTTGAAAAGCAGATTAGGCATTATCATTTTACATTTTGGAAGACAGCAGCATTGCTTAATAGAAAATACAGAACACGAAGTTTGACAGTCCTTGCTTGGGAGAAATACATGCAAGATGCCGTGATTCTGAACTTTCTAGTGATAGAAAGGAGGCCTGATAGAACGCATCGCCTAGATACGGCAGCAATAGAGAAAGGGGGTCGTCAAGGGTTGCTAGGCATGGCTCCTGTAGGTGGCCAGGGGAAGCTTCACAGTGGAAGGAGCATTTGAGAAGCGTTTTGCAGGATGGGAAGGAATTTGCCTGGGGGAAAAAGCGGTACAGAGCTTTCCCAGGCGGGGATACAGACAGAGCAGGGCCACAGAAGAGCCTCACTCTTGCAGGGAACAGGATGGGGTTTAGAGAAATGATTGGTGGTTCACAAGGGAACATCATGCTTTAGATGATTCTGGTATCAAAAATTTAAAAAATAATAATAATAAGTGATTCTGGTACCTGTTTCCAAGCTGATTCACCATGACTTCCTGCTATCCCATAGGGCCACTTTTGGGGTCGACAAGTGTCCCCAAGTTCAGATACCTAGGGCAAAGGCTTGGGGTCAGACCCTGCCAATGTCCAGTCCTGGACCATGGCTGCCAGTTTGACGCTGGCACCTCGCCACCCTTCAAGGGAGCCATGCTCTGTGCCCCACTGTGTTTCAGGACCCTGCCCAGCCTGGATATCACGGTGTGGTCAGAGCTGCCCACGGGGGCTGGCCTGGGCTCCAGCGCCGCCTACTCTGTGTGTCTGGCAGCTGCTCTCCTGACCGCGTGTGAGGCGATTCCAAACCCGCAGAACAATGGCGAGTCCGCTACCAGGTAATCACTGCCTTTGTCTTGGTCATAGTCCTCCCTGGGTGCCACGACCCAAGCATGTGTTCCCTCGCTGAGGACTCCCTGCCACCCTGTGAGGTGAGAGGTGTCACGTGGCCATTGTACAGATGAGGAAGCCAAGGCAGAGTGTGGGCCCGGGCTATGTAGCTAGTGATGGCAGGACAAGACTTGCCACCCAGGTGGCCTGGACCCAGAGCCCGACCCCTTTGCCCCTTTGCTAAGCCACTTCTCCCTGACTCCTCACCCTACCTTGCCTCTTTTGGGTTCAGGTATCTGTGGTGTGGCAGAAAGAACCTGAGCCCAGACGTAGGAAGCCATGGGGCCTACTTCTCCCATCAACTCCCTGTGGGACCTTGGCCATGCCGCTGTACCTCCTGGGACCCCAGTGTCCTTCTCTGTAACAGGTCCTACCAGACAGTTATGCAAAAAAGAAGAAGGAGAAAAAGTAAAGTGTGCCAAGAAATCACCACAGGGTATTTATTAGATTAAGGGATCTCCCTTCGTAGGAGTTCTCAGCCTCACTCCGGGAGGGGGTATCGCCTCTGCCATCCCCACCAGGAGTCAGTGAGGCTCACTGGGACAGTGTTGTCGGCACCCATTTCTGTGGCTTGGGGAACGCACCTCGAGAAGCCACCCCAGGATTGGAGGTTATGCAGTTTGTCCCGGGCCCCGCCCCGAGTCCAAAATCCAGCCTGGCAGCTTCTCGGTGAGGCCTGTTCCTGGGCCCTGCTAGGGCTAAGGGGAGCCCTCCCACTGGGGAGCTGTCAGTAGCCACTGCATGCTGCATCAGGAGGGGGGCGCTGCTGGCCTCGTCCACCTCCCTGTGTAGCCAGCAAAGGAGAAAGCCACTCAGGCAGTGCTGGGTGCCAGGTTGGATGTGGCTGAGTGTTTCCTCCCAGAGCCCTCCACGCCCGAGACGGGCACCCACTGAGACAAGATCCAAAGGACATGTTGCACAAGCTGTAGCTCGTGACCTCATTCCTCTTTCCAAACTTGCTTTTGAATTGAGGTTTCCCTCCTCTGCCCTGAAAGTGCTGTGGTTTTCAGATAGCCCAGGCCCTTCTGGGCACCCTGTCAGGACCAATGATTTCTCTTCTGAGACACGGAGGTTAAAATACAGTTGAATTCAGACTAAGCCTGAAGGTCCCTTTAATCCTTGTGGCCACAGCGGATCTGGGGGCTCTCAGTGTGATGCGTCTGTCAGCATTCCTCAGGCTCGCTTTGGATAGTTTCTGTGCACGAGGGAAGCAGCAGGGGTGAGGGTAGAGGCGGCTTCTGTCAGGGCAAGAATCCAGAAGGTAATGAGTGACGCACCTGCAGCTAGTGCAAGGTGACAGTTTTCAGGAATTTCAGTGGGGTTTGTCTGTTAACTCGCTGTAAGCCACTGGGCCACCCCTTTGTCTCTCTGGGCTCTGTTTCCTCATCTGGAAACGAGGGACTGCACCTGATGGTCCTTTGGGGGGCCCTCCAACCTTGACATTTAGTGATCCCGAGAGACAACGATGCTTGTTAATGTGTGCGGATCACTGATTGTAACCTACATCGGTGAAGGCCTGCATGCCTGGGGTCCCCCAAATAGACTTGTGTATATGGGCCAGCAGACTGTGCCATTCAGAAGATGCAAGTGACTTGTGCACGTGTGTGTGCACTTTCCCCCCGCTGCTTCCTTATAACCAGTTCCTCGCCTCCCCTGAAGGCCCAGTCATTCCTTCCCCTGACCTTTGATGGGAGCAGGCCCCAGCCCCTGCCCTGGCCCCAGCATTTCCAAATCATACAGAATTGGAATCTGGTCTCCCGTGAAGACAGGGTTAGAAATCTGAGCCTCCGAAGGATGAACAGTATACAGAAGGGGAGGGAGACTCTCCTTGGAGAAGGCCAGGTCCCCAGCTGCCCCTTTGCCCTGCTGCTCATTCACTTTTCAGTTCCCAGTGAAGGTCAGCTCCTGTCCAGTTCCAGATGCTATACCGCCTCAGTCTAGAGTGCTCCCTCACATGTCTTGCCTTGCTGACCACCCCCTTTTGTCCCTCAGGCTGTCCGCAATCCAGATGGGGTGCACTCCATCCACCCTGCATTGCACCCATCTCCTGGAGGTTGGTCGTTAAGTGCTGATTGCTTCTAGGCATCCACTCTCTATAAGACACCAAGCCTCAAGCTATTGGGGGCCATATCTGGTTCCTTCCCTGCTGTGAGCTTAGTCACAGGCATGTAGTAGATGCTCAGTAAATAGTGGACAATTGAGGGAGTCTCATTGGTACCATAAAGCTCAGTGGTTGAGAGCTTGGGCTCCGGCCTACAGATGTGGTCCTAATGTAGCAGTCAATAGCACTAGGATCTGCTTTACTCACCTGAGCCTCAGTTTCCTCTTCTGTAGGAGAGGGAGAGTAACCGTACCTTCCCTGTAGGGTTTTTTGCAGATTACGGAGACAGGCCATTTGAGAAAAGCACAGTGCTTGGCACCTGGTGATGGTGTTTAGCCTCTCAGCCACCACGTGAGTGGCGAGGCCATCAAATTCTCTTTTGCCCAGTGAGGAAAGAGGCTCAGAGGGGGTGATGTGTGCCCTTGTGTGCCCAAGACCTCACAGCAAATGAGCATTGGACTGGGCTTGGGATGAATCCTGGAGCTGCAATTCCAGGTGGCCTTCTTCTAGAGCCCATACTGTTTCCCCGGCGTTTTACAAAACACTTGGTGTGTTACTATCTCAGACATCCTCAATGAGGGAGACATGATTACCCATGTTTTACAGATCAGAAAATGGGGTCGGATGTGACGCCGTTGCTCAGAAATGCCCAGAGAGTCAGGGGCAGGCTGGGTCCCTGCTTGCTGCATAGCTCTGCCCTGGGGCCTGGCATTCTTGGGACCACAGCACCCTGTTTCCTGGGGGCAAGCGGTCCTCAGAAAGGAAATGAAAGCTGAGAGACAGGGACAGGGGAGGGGCTGACCATGTATCCTTGTTCGATACTCATGGGCTTGGGGTCTGCTCACTCAAGCTGTCCTCTCCCGAGGAAGGCAGCATGGCCATGTGCTCAGGAAAGATCCAGAGGTGGTCAGTGCACACTTGACCCATCAACAGTGTCTGGGGCACCTGGAATTCACGTTCCTAACAGTCGGGCTTTGGGAAAAGTCACGCTTCTGCTCACTCTTCCTCATAGGAGGCTACGTTCCAGAACAGGAGCTTATGTAGGGGTCTGTTACAGTAGTAACACTGCCCACTGCTTGCGGACCACCTCGCTGGCCCTGGATACACTTGGAACTAGGCTTCGACAGGTGTGACCATTCTACAGATGAGGACAATGGGGCTTAGTTTAGGTAATGGGCCCAGAGTCCCTCAGCTGCTAGGACTGTGAGCATCCAAAGCCTGGTCTCTTTCCACTGTGCCGGGTGGGAGGGTTTCAGAGGGAAGGGAAGGTCTAGCACATTCGGTAGTGGAGAGATTCTGGTGTTTTTCTGTTTCTGAGTTCAAGGGCCCAAGCCCCTTTGACTTTTTTGATCTCCACCTGTGGATCCTTCCCCCTGCTACCACCAGCGGCCCTGGCCCCTTACTCTCCACCAAGGTCCGGATGAACTTCTGTGTCTTCTTTAGGTGGACCATGGAGGATTTGGAATTAATTAACAAGTGGGCCTTCCAAGGGGAGAGAATGATTCATGGGAACCCCTCTGGAGTGGACAACACCATCAGCACTTGGGGTAGGGGCTGCCTCAGGCTTGTTTTCTTTATTTTTATTATTTTAGAAATTCTTAGGATCATTGTAGATGCTCAGGCTGTTGGTTTGGGTGAATGAAATCAGCAAATTCTGAAGAACATAATATTTTCCTTTTTGGGGTGGATGAGGGGTGGGAGAAATTACAGGGCCCTGCCTCACCCCTCCTGACCCCGAATTTCTGGGGGGTTGGGGTGGGGTCTGGGAAGCCACAGTTTCAGGGACCTTACAAGGATCCCTGGGATAAAGTTGCAGAGCCACTCATTGCTGGAGTGTTTGGTAGCCACACAAGCCGGGCCGCCCTCCAGTAAGGACACTGGCTTAGGGGACCTGGCCACAGTTCCGGGCTCACCCTCCCCACATGGCCTGTGGATGAGGCTGGACAGCCTGGGGGGAGGGCAGGCTCCCTGGCAGAGCATGGAGTTCCTTTGTACCTTCCTGGATCTTGTTGTAACTGAAACTGGGATGACTGGTGGTGGGGTTCAGTCTGTTCACTGGATGGGCCAACACCTTCACCCCACCTCCAGCCTGGTTTCTCCATCAGGAGGCAAAGTTACATAGCTTTTTCTACAGCCCCAACCCACTGCCTTTTCTCTTTAGGAGGAGCACTCCGATACCAACAAGGAAAGATCTCATTCATAAAGAGGTAATTATGGGGTGGCGCAGCACCTCCTGGCTCCTGGCTGCATCAACACGTCCATTGGGCGGGGGGCTGTACCTCTTGGGGAGGGAATGTGTGGGCCTGGTGTCCCCAGGCTTTCCATCCTCTCCCCCATGAGGCCCTCACAGACCATGGGCCAGGAGGGCACCCTGTTCTTAACTTCTGTGTATGGCCCTTAAATTGCCAAGAGCTTAGAGGGAGAGGTCATGCGTGGCCATGCCGTTCACCTTCTAGAGCATGACTATCCCCACCAGACCCCTGGTTTCTCATTCATTTAATTCATTTGATCATGTAGTCATTTAGCAAACAAGAACTGATGTCTTCCTGTGTTCCTAACAACACTGTCTTAGGGTCTACAGCTATAAAAATGAGTCTCAGCCACAGTTTCGGCAGGGTGGGACGTGGAAGTAGGGGTGGAGTAGGGGAAGGCCAACAGACACTCCCACAGAGCCCCTGTGGGGAAACATGAGAGTTGCCACAGTGAGACCCTCAGGGCAGAGCCTGGGCTCCAGAGCTTGTGAGAAGCCTCAAGCGGGGGCGACCTGTGATGACTTCTCAGCCCGTTTCACATGTTCCTTGACCCCCTCCCTCCAGAGGAATCGCACTTACAAACGTGCATGTTAAAATAGAACATTTCTCTTTGAACTCGGAGTGCAAATGCCGGCTGTGGGGAATGAAGCATGTTCATGTGCTTCTGCAAGCAGGAGCAGGTGTTTTTTTAAGATTTTATTTATTCATGAAAGACGCACAGAGAGAGGCAGAGACACAGGCAGAGGGAGAAGCAGGCTCCCTACGGGGAGCCTGGTGTGGGACTCAATTCCAGGACCCCGGGATCACGACCTGAGCCAAAGGCAGATGCTCAACCGCTGAGCCACCCAGGGATCCTAGGAGTGGGTGTTTTTTGGTAGTTCCTTGAGCCCTCGATCAAGTTGAGTGGTGGTGTTTGTCCCAGGGCACTTTGCCCCACCCTGGTGGCCTTTCCATGGTGATGAGAGTCCTCTTCACTGTGGATGGGCTTCTAGCCTGCTGCCCTCACCAACTGGGCTGCTCTGTCAGTGGCTCTATGAGCTGGCGTGACATAGTGGTGCTGTACTCTTGCTTCCACCTGCACCTCTGAGATCTTCCTGCCTTAGCTCTGTTGGCATCCATGAGCCAAGCCTGCCTTTCTGAGCCTCTGCATTAGGGTTTTTTTTTTTTCTTAACCTTGGTACCATTGACATCGTGAACTGGATAGTTCCTTGTGATGGGCAGCTGCCTTATGCAGCTTGTCTAGGATATTTAGAAGCATCCCTGAGCTCTACCCACAAGATGCCAGTAGCACCTCCCCCATCTCCCAGTTGTGGCAACCAGAATTGTCTCCAGACATTGCCACATGTCTCCTAAAGGGCCAAGATCTCCCCTGGATGACAACCTCCACTCTGCACAGAGGAGGAAGCAGAGCTGTCGGGGAGAGTAGAACCAGCTTGCTCTGGCTGCTGTGCATGCAGGGCAGTGGAGCCCGGGGGCCCAGGGGGCCACCTCTGCCGAGTAGACTGATGCCCCATGCAGTGACATTAGGAGTCAAGGTCAGGACTTAGATGTCAGACCTGGGCTTGCCCACGGGGCTCACAGTCCATCCAAGAAGGCAGTCACTCATCCTCAGAGCAAAGCCATCCAGGGAGTACTGAAGCTGCTGTGGATGGCAGTGAGAGGTGTCAGAAGTTCAGCAACAGATGTGGGGGTCCTTCATGGGGGCAGTGGCATCTCGTTTAGTGTTTCCTGAGAGGTAGTTGTATCCTGAGCACTGCACTAGGCCCCAGGGATAGAAGACCAGCTAAAACATGGTGTGGGCACATAGGTACATTCTACTGGAGGGGAATTGAGAGAGATGAGTGATACAGGCTTTTCCAGATGGTGGGAGGCAGGAGGAGAGGCCCCAAGGCCAGCTGGTGGTGGTGTGGTAGACGGAGGCTCTGGGGTCTGTTGGCCTTGTTTTGAGCCCAGCTCTGCCACTCATGAGCTAGGTGTTCTTGAATAAGTTACTTTTCCTGAGGCAGATGTCTCCTGGTTTATATTATGAGAATCCTGAGCATGAAATCAGAAACAGTATCTGTAGGGTGCTCTGCCCTTTGCTGACCATATTTAATTCCACAAATACCGCATCCTTGGTGCTGGGGCCTGAGCAGGGAAGAGTAAGTCCTGCCTTCATGAAACTCATATTTTGTGGGAGGAGGCAGCCAACAAATGGCTCTGTAAGAGCCTGTCAGGCAGTCAAATGGATGACCAGGGGACCCTCTGATGAAATGACATCTGAGCAGGGACCTGGATGAAACCCTAGAGTGAGTCCTGGAGCTGTTGAGGATGGTGCTGGGTCCCTGGCAGAGGAAATGCAAGTGCAAAGGCCCTGAGGCAGGGGCGTCCCTGGCATGTTGAACAGCAAATAGGAGGCCAGGATGGCCAGAGTGAACACCGGGGAGGGCAGAAATGACCTAAAATGGGAGAGTTAGCCAGGCCTAGCAGGCACAAGCACTTAACAGGGCATAGCCTGGGTGGTGATCTCTAGATGCCCTAGGAGCCATGGGGGTTTGTGGGACCGGTGGGGCTGGCAGCAAGCCTGCTTGCAGAGGACTTATCTAAGGAAGATGAAGACCCAATACTCCAACTCCTCCCGCCCGGATGAATGGGAACACAGAGCAGACCGACCTTCAGTGCTGGCTGCAGGGCGCCACGGCGAGCAGATGGCGGATTCTCTGAGAAGCCGGGAGGCCAGACTCCACATTAATCCCACCAATGGCTTCAAGAGGAACCCTTCCCCCCCCCGCCCCCCCCCCAACGACGACGTATGGTGCTTCTCCATTAAAAAAAATGCATTGTTTGCGAAGTGGATCAAGATGCGGCCTCCCAGAACGCTGCCCTTTTGAAGAACGGCTTGTCTTTAAGGGGAAAAGAAAAGCCAAATAGAATGTTCATCTTTTGTAAAGTTAAAAAAAAAAAAAAGAAAGCCAGCCTCCAAGGCTGAGAATCGATATTAATTTCATGGGCTTATGGGCGGTGAGATCAAGCAGGTTTCTGGCAGCCTTTCTCAGCCCTATTGGATTTTACAGTCTTGGGTTGTGAAAAGAAAAACGGATAAAGGTATCAGGGGGTCTGCTGTCTCCAGCTGTCTCAGGCCAGAGCTCGTCCAGATGCTCCAGCCTCCATCCCCGGCCCACAGCGCTCTGACAGGCAGCTTGGGGATGACCAGAAATGGTGCCCCGAGCCTCCAAAGGCCGCTAGCCATGGGACAATTGGGATTGTGACCTTAGGAGGTATCCGAAAGCTCAGAGGGCTGGTGAGGGCAGCGGGGTCGTGCCGCAGAGCCAGCTTACCTGGGGCAGCTGAGCAGGGACGACCGACTCTCTCTGACCACATCTGGCTGTGCCAGGGCAGCTGGTCTGGGCAGGGCATGATGGGCTCCATGTGCTGGGATCCCGACGCCTGCACGAGCCCGCCCTCCCCGGTACCCGCTAACGCGGTACCCTCCCTCCCTGCACACACCCCCTCTGCCAGATTCTGCCCCACATCCCACTCACTTTTCTTCCTAAATCCCTGGAACCTTCCACTCCAGCATGCCAAGGTGGTCCATGTGATGGAGCCTCCACCCCTTCTTATACTCTTGGCTGTCGTGCCTTTGAACTCCTTTGACGCCAACTCCAACCCCGTGAACCTGGCGTCTTCTGGCAGCTCCAGGCTAAGCCAGGCCCCCCTTGCGTGTCCCCGGCGCATAGTAGGTGCCCAACTGCAATCAGGTGGGTGGGTGGCGAGCCAGAAAACAGTGTCCATCTGCCTGAGGGCTGGAGCGGAGATGCAGCTACAATTGGCAGCAGGAGCCCCCTGCTCCCCTCGCTATCCCTCTGGCCCCCGATGTCCTTTCCCTGGGCCTCCGCTCTCTCCTCGGTGTCGGGGGGGGGGTGGTGACACTTGGGATCGAGCCTCCGCCCTGAGCGCACCGTGGCCCCGCTTTGCCCTGTAGGCTGCCGGCTCTGAAGATCCTGCTGACCAACACCAAAGTCCCTCGCAGCACCAAGGCTCTCGTGGCCAGCGTCAGGAGCAGGCTACTTAAGGTACATCCCGTGCCACCACTGGCGGGGTTCTCACCGGGCCAGGCCAGCCAGGTCTGGGGGCTCAAGCTCTCCCTCTGCCCCAGGGCTTCATGGGGGGGGGCGAGATAGGTGATGGGGACCGGGGGAGGGGAGGTGGTTTTGGCAGGCAGGGAGGTGCTGTGTGCCCCCCACCCCTTGGCTTGGCGATGAGAATCCCCCACTTATGTCAGGGGGCCAGGCGAGGCAGATACCCAGAGGGTAGGGGAGGCGGTTTCCTCAGAGTGGGGGCCTGGGGGGACACCTCTCTCCTCCTGGTGCCCGGCAGCTGTCTGGTGTCTGCCCAAGCCCAGGCCTCACTGGCCATTGCTTCCTCTCCCTCCAGTTCCCTGAGATCGTGGCCCCCCTGCTGACCTCTATAAATGCTATTTCCCTGGAATGCGAGCGGACACTGGAGGAGATGGCTTCGGCCCCAGCCCCAGAGCACTACCTCGTGCTGGAAGTAAGAGCCCTTCTGCAGGATGCAGGGTCTCGCCCACACCACTGTCTGGGACGGGGGCTCATCTGACCTTGGGATCCCCCGAGCTGAAGCACAGAGGCCGGGCCTAGGCCTGGGCTCCTGTACACACAAAGGCCAGCAGCCTGCCTCCTTCTTAGGCCTTTTCATAGATGTTTCAAAGCCATTGAGCCAGGACATGCAAAGCACCGAGGGCAGGGCCTGGTGCGTGCTAGGGGCCAGGTTTGGGTTCATGCTTGTAAGGAGCACCGGGCTAGTGCTGACACCATCTTCTGTTGGCCCAGGGGCAATTTCTTGCATGGCCACCTCTTTTCCTGCTGTCTTTGCTGACTGCATTTGTCCCTTTTTTTTTTTTTAATATTTTATGTATTTATCTTAGGAGTGGGGAAGGTGCAGAGGAAGGGGGACATGCACACTCTGCACTGAGCACAGAGCCTGACATGAGGTTTGATCCCATGACCCTGGGATCATGACCTGAGCCAAAATCACGAGTCGGGACATTTCACCAACGGAGCCACCCAGGCACCGCAGCTCAGATATACTCTAACACAATTCTTTCCTGATTGTTCCCTGAGCCACCACTCTTTGCATAATTCTCGTATAGAGGCTGAGACCTTGGGTTTAGATCAGGTCACGATCTGATCCCAGGCTCACTCCTGCTGGTCTCACTGGAGCGTCTTAACACAGCAAGGCCTGGGAGGTGACGTGCAGCCATCATTCCTGATGAACCACCAGCACAGTAAGCCAGAGGGCGCAGGCTTATCCCCACAGTCCTGGTGGCTGGCAAACACAGGTCGACGTTAAAGAGCAGCTCCTAGGCTAAGCCTTCTTACAAGTGATTTCTCTCTTAATCTCTATAATTCTCTCCCTGGGAAGTAGGTATGCTGTCCCCATTTTACAGATATAAAAACTGAGGCCTAAGGAGCAACTTTCTCCAAGGTTCACCAACTAGTAGGTTGACATGCCAGGCATCAAACTGAATGACTTGCTTGTCTCTTAGGCCAACAGATCTTTAATGAGCACCCACCCACCCGGGCCAGGGCAGTGACCCTCTCTCGTTTCTGTGCTTTACCTCCCCATTTCCATAGCTGTCTGCCTCCAGTCCCCCAGCATTTGCATGGCTGGCTTCAATTCCTTTCATGTACAAAGGAGGGAACACAGTACTCCTGAGTAGGAAATTAATAATGATAGAGTACTGCCTAAAATATACCCTGTTGAGCCCCTAGAGAATGCCACAGAACAGCACGTTGATTATACATTGTGTATATTTTTGGCTGTGGCAGCCGCTGAAATGTGCAGCTCGGCTCCTGGACAGCTTTGTGCTCAAACCAGCGAGCTGTTCTCCTATGTCACAACCTGTCATCTGATCCTTGACAGATTTTGGATCAGAATGTGACAGGTGTCTGAAACCTGCCTCGGCAACGTGACACCTGGCGCTCAGGCATAGAGAGCAGCCCCCAGAAGTTTTCCCTCCCATCCAGCCCTTGGGGCTGGGGAAAGGCACCCAGGGCTGCCACCAGGCCATCACGCCTGTCTGCTCATTTGTCAGAAGTGCTGGGGTGTGTGAGGCAGGCTGCAGGGGAGGGCTGACCCGAGCCTGCCCGACAGCCTGGGGCAGGAGAACCAGGTGGGCCTCAGCAGACAGCTCGGTGATTGGCAACCCTCGCGGCACGCAGGCACTCCTTGTTCCCTAGAGCAGAGCTGTGTGCTGTCAAGCCACACACCGTGAGAAGTAGGTGGCAGCCGGAATGCCAAGGGCGCTCCTGGAGGCAGGGTAAACATGAGCTTTGCATCGGGCAGACCCAGCTGCCAGTGCTGGCTCAGGACCTTACCAGCTCAGCGACCTTAGGCAAGTCACTTTCCTCCTTGAGCCTTAGCGTCCCCTAAAATGGGGATGATGGTGATGTGACCATAAGAGTACTGATAGCAGCAGACTTTCCAGGGGCCCTAATCTCAGGCCAGGCATCATGCGAAAACTCACCTTGTTTCATCCCCACAGTGATGAGACAGAGCGTCTTATAATGCCAGTTTTATAGGTGGGGAAACTGAGGCACAGCATGGAAGACCTCGCCCCAGGACCAAGAAGTCACAGAGCTGGGACTCAAACCCAGGCCCCCCCCAACTCCAGATCCCATATTCTTAACTTGCCTGGCAGGGACTATAGCTGGATGCTCTTCTTAGAGCCCCAGCATCTAGCACAGTGTTTGGCAAACACTGGTATAATAAATGTAGTCGGGGGCACCTGGGCTGTGTTAGCTGTCAGTTTTGGTATTTCATCAACCTGCATCTTGTTTGAGCCTCAGAAGAACAGGAATTTTATGCAGGATCAAAGAAACCTGAAAAACAGCTCTTTCTCCTACTTTGTGACCCTGTTAGAACCAAAAACCAGTTCTTATTCTGAAAATGGGCACCTGAGGCAGCTGTAGGATGGCATATTACTTCAGATTCCTGCAGATGATAGAAATCCATTAACATCAGGTGTTAGCAGAAAAGGAATTTATGGGCTCAAAACTATGAAGACTGGCAAGAACAACTTCAGGCATAGCTGGATCCAGGGACCAAACAACTCAGTCCGAAGTCTCCATCTTGCATATGATCTCTGACCATGTGCAGGGCAGATAAGTCTGGCAGCTTACCTCTGAAGTCAACCAATTTTAGCAGCTCCAGGGCAGAGGCAGAGAAAACCCTGGGAGGACTATGGTCACAGGCCCATCCCTGACCAATCACCATGGTCAGAGGCTTCTTTGGCCAGGCCTGGAACATGTATTTACCACCAGCTCCATCCCAGTCCCACAGGAGTCCTGCAGGAAGGAGAGGTTCTTTCATCAGTGGAGAGGGACACAGTGCTGGCTTGCGTAAGCCATTCGCTGTCCCGAACCAGCGGCTGTCACATGGATGGGGTGGGCACAAGACCTTGGTTTCAGGCATGTCAAGTGGGAACAGATTGAACCTTCTCCTCCAGGAGCTCATCGACATCAACCAGCACCATCTGAATGCCCTTGGTGTGGGCCATGCCTCGCTGGACCAGCTGTGCCAGGTGACCATGGCCCATGGACTGCACAGCAAGCTCACTGGTGCGGGCGGCGGTGGCTGTGGCATTACGCTCCTCAGGCCAGGTACTTGGGGGGCGGGGCACAGTCACCACCACAGGCTCATGCAGAGGTCCTACCTGGGCAGTTTCCTTGGGAGGAAGAAGAAGCTGGAGGACAGTCTCCCTTCTGCTGTGTGTCCTTGGTCAAGTTAATTAACCTCTCTGGGCCTCTGTTGCTGCAGTGGTAAAATGAGGATGCCGACCTCTCTTTAGGGGATTGCTGTCTGGATTCCAGGAGAAAAATACATTTAGAAAGCCTGGCACAGGGCTGGGCTGTGGTGGCTCATATTGTGGTGGCTGTCCCTACCACCTCCTTACCGGCCAAGTCTCCCACGAGCTTGAGAAATAACCAGGACTTTGTCATCTTTCGTGTCAGCCTCACCCCTTCTCCCCTGCTGTCACCTCTTGATGTGGTCAGGACAGGGACTGACCTTGCTACAAAACAAAGGGCTTTCTCTCCCCTTCTTTACCTTTGCCTCCTTCATCTTCCCATTCGCTGTGGCTTTGCAGTGAGCCCACTGTGGCCTCAGCCCCTTCCACGGCTCTCTGTGCACTCCCAGGTGTCAAGAGGTCGGCCACAGCCAGCGGCCGACCTTGACCGTGGGCTCCTAGTTCATGGCCACTGACGGTGATGAGAGAGAAGGCTCCTGGGGCGTGTCCGCTGTGCCAGGCGGCTTGCCTGCATTCTCCCGCGTGAGCCTCACAGGGACCTGTGAGGGGTACAGATTCTTAGCCTCATTCCCAGATGAGGAGACTGAGGCTCAGAGAAGGGAAGTCACTTGTCTGAGGCCCCAGGACTGATCCATGACAAGGCCAGGTCCATGTGACTCGTGATTTTAACGGTTGCTCTGTACCCAACACCCCAGTGCCCCCCACCACCAAGAGGGTGCAGAGCTCGACATTCCCACAGGAAGACCTGGTTGGTTGGTCCCAGGCCTCTTCCTGGCTGAACAGTCTCTAAGGGCACAGATGATTGTGGGGTGACCTGCTGCTTTCCACTTTCCCTCTGCCCAGATCTGGAGCAGCCAGAGGTAGAGGCCATGAAGCAGGCTCTGACCAGCTGCGGGTTTGACTGCTGGGAGACCAGCATCGGGGCCCCTGGTGTCTCCATCCACTCGGCTGCCTCCCTGGACGCCCAGGTGCAGCGAGCCCTGGATGGCCTCTGAGATGAGCCCGCCCGCTGCACAAGAAACCCCACCTGGAGTATTCCGGGTGCCAGAGTCCACCTCTGCTGGCCAGCGGGCCGCAGCCCTGCGTGACGGCCTTCCCAGCGGCCGCACCCCTCCAGGCCCAGCAGTGCAACATGGAACCTACAGTGGGCTGGGGTGCCCTGGAAGACCCCGTCTGTGATCTGCCTTCTCTTGAGCCACCGGGCAGTGGGACCATGTGGGGTCCTGTGAGATGTGAGGAGCTTCCTATCCTCCCCAAAGCTCTCACACACCCATCTGCTTTGGGCTTCTGTTGCCTTCTCACACCCTCTCCCCACTGGGCTGGCGGCTCCGATGCAGTTGTCTGGCCTCTGGAGCAGTGTGCCTTCTCCCTCCCACGCCTCTGCTCTTTACCTGTCTTGAGGGCCTGGCCCCTCCCACCTCCTCCAGGAAGCTTTCCCTGACCCCTGGCAGGGAGGTGACCTTAGTCCCACCTTCCTCCGGTACAGACCCTTCCTTCCTGTACAGGAGGAAGGTGGGACTAAGGTCACCTCCTGTCTGTTTGAACCGTTCAGCACTTTGTGTGGTCTGCTCTCCGGCAAGACTGTGGGCTCCCTAGGGGTGGTCTGGGTGGTGGTCTCTGCCTTCCGCCCTCCCGTTTGAGAGCTGGCCAAAGGCATGGTGGATGTACCCTGTTTCTTCCAGTCTGTACCCATGGGATTTGCAGAAAACACAGCAGAGAGGAAATAAAAAGCTCTTGAGTAAACCAGTGCTTTACTCAGTGTCTAGAAAGAAGGATGACCATCTGGTACCGTCTCCTTCACGTCCGTGCCTGCCTCCTCTGTCCTTGTCCCTTCTCTGGTCATTGTCTCCATGGAGCTCTTAAGGAGTTGAAGGAAAGAAGGGCTTTGGGTGGGGTGGCCCTGATGGCTTAGCAGTTTAGTGCTGCCTTCAGCCCAGGGCATGATCCTGGAGGTCCGTGATCAAGTCCCACGTCAGACTCCCTGCATGGAGCCTGTTTCTCCCTCTGCCTGTGTCTCTGCCTCTCTCTCTGTTTCTAATAAATAAAATATTAAAAAAAAAAAAGAAGAAGAAGGGCTTTGGGCCACTCTGTTGTGTGTCTTGGGGCCATCAGCCCTCTGGCACAATTCTGTCTGCTTTTCCAGGAAGGGGAGTTTTAAGTTTCCTGGCCCCTGGAGTCGTGAGCACTCACAAATTCACAGACTTGGGGATCCCTGGGTGGCTCAGCAGTTTAGCGCCTGCCTTCTGCTCAGGGCATGATCCTGGATGCCTGGATCAAATCCCGCATCAGGCTCCCTGCATGAAGCCTGGTCTCCCTCTGCCTGTCTCTGCCTCTCTCTGCTGCCTCTCATGAATAAATAAATAAAATCTTCAAAAAAAAAAAAAAACAAATTCACAGACTTGAAAACAAAAACCTGTAGGCTCTGGAATCTTTTTTTTTTTTTTTCCTGAAATTGCCTGGGTGGGAAAAAATATTCAAGTGCTTGTCGCCCAGTGCCTGGCACCTACCTGGCCCTATTTGAACTTGATATTACTACTCAAAGCTCCTTCTGAAACCGGAATCCATCAAAAAGCCCTCCCGTGGGGAGCTCCAGCCACCCTGCGCCTCCGTGAGGCACACAAGGAGGTGGGGGCTGGGCAGGGAGTTCAGGACGTGCTGAAAATGGCCCTGCGCTGCTGCCCTTGGCCACTAGGGGGCAGCGGGTGCCTTTCCCAGGGAGGGTGAATGGGAGCCGGCCTGCCGAGCCGGGTCTGAGCTCTAAGCCCCACCACCCCACCACCCCACCACCCTCCCCGCCATGCCAGGCCTCCTGGGCTGTGCCTGGGCTCCCTGCCAGGGACCATGAGGGCAATACGGAGGTTGCCTGTCCTGGCATCACTGATGGGGGTTGCCTGGTTCCCTTTGAAACACAAATAATGCATAAAACAATAATGTTAATACTGAACACTTAACCATGTGCAGGATGCTGTTCTAAGCACTGTAGATACATCATCTCTTTTCATCTACCTCAGGCTTGGAGCATAATTGCTAGTCTCAGCCCCATTTTACAGATCGGGGAAACGGAAGTTCAGAGACGTTGAGTAATTCAGCCAAGGCCACACAGCTAATCCACATCAGAGGTAGGATTCCCGCCCAGGTAGCTTGACTACAGCACCTGTCCTCAACCCCTGCGTGCTTCCGCCTGGACACAGGTTGGTGCGATTCTTGCTGCTTTCCACACTTGGGCTCCTTATTTCTTCTGGATTCTGTTGTACTTGGTCAGAGTGGGCCCAGGGTCTGGGTATTTTCATCAGAGATGCCCGTACCAGGTGTCCAGAGAGGCTGAGGCCCCCAGAATCTACTTCCTCCTTGAGACCCTCCCTCTTCCTCACTCCCTGGGGACCCTGTGTCTCTCCAGGAGCAGAGGCCAACCCATTACTCATGCCTGAGCAAAGCAGCACCTGCATGCCTTGGCCAGTACCGCCTCACCCCAGCCATCACCCCCAGCCTCAGTGGTGCCTACTCCTGGCCACTGATCTCTTCCATTGCATTTGTAGATAGTTTGCATTTGCAGGGAGCACCCCCTTTCTTGCCTGGGGTTCTCACTCCCAGCTGCACATCAAAACTACCCTGGAATGCCTGCCTCACCCCCAGTGTTCTGATATAACTAATCTCACCAAGATTCAGCCCTGGATAGTTTTCAGAAGCTCCCAGGTGATTCTTCTAATGCAGAGTCAAGGCTGAGGACACTGAGTTAGATGACCCCAGAGGTCAACTAAGCTCGGCCTGGGCTTCCATTCACCTCTACCACCCACTGGCTACATGACCTCAGGCAAGCCCATCCACTTCGGGGAGGCACAGACTCCTCTTCTGGAAGGTGGAAAAACTAGTAATACCCCCCTGAGAGAGGTTTTGTGAAGAGTGCGTGAGAAAGTGCACGCGAAGCCTATGGCACCGTGCCTGGCACACAGGAGGTGCTCACAGATGCTCATCACCGTAACTGTCCTGTGCTGAGAGACTGAGTGTCTCTCAGAGCTCAGGAATTTCAGAGCGGTGCAGAGTTGGCTAGAAGCACCCAGCCCTGGTTGTCCAAACCCCCTAGGTTGAGACCCCGGGGATCACTGCTGGAGAGAAACAGCCAAGGCCCGCTGCCTTTCCAACCTCCCTCCTGGCTCCCTCCCCGAAGAGGTGGTCACATAACCAGTGCCCACTTTGCCAACTGGAGAAGAACAATCTCTCAAGTCAGCATTTGGAGCCGCTCCCAGCCTCTGCAGCCTATGGTAGATTTAACACCCACCCTCACAGCCTCAAGCTCACAGTTCCTCCAGGCTGGCAGAGGTCTCACGTCGGGAGACAGGCAGCAAATATTGTGACTCACGGCAGACAGTAGCTGCTGTGATTTGCACCCGTGCTCTCTCTGTCGGGAACGGTTTGCTCCCCCCACGGACTGGCAGCTGGCAGCCTGTGGAGTTAGGGGAGCTGGCTGCAGGTCAGCACGCAAGGTCTGGCCCGCCCTGCCATCCCGGTATGCTTGGGCCAGTGCCTTTGCCCCACCGTGTGCCAGGCAGTAAGGCTGAGGGGTTAAGCAACATGCCTAGAATATGTTTGCCCCTTAATTCCCAGGCCACAGTTACATCTCTGCCTAGTTGTCCCCCCAAAACCCAGAATCCTGTCCAGGACCACACATCTGGCTGTTACAGCCCTAAGTTCTCTTTTAGTCCACACAGCAGCCCTACACGTGCTTGCACACCTTATTTCTCCATGACACAGCTTACCCAAGAGACCTGGCCAGTTAGCTTGCAGAACGTCCCATCAGCTGCATTCATCGTTCAGAGTCCAGCCCCTCCTGGTGGCTTTGTCAGCCCCCGAGTTGCTCACAGCCGACCCTCCTGAACACCTGTGCACACCCTGCATGCCGCCTACTGCTCTGTATGCCTCACCCTGTGAATCCACTCAGTTCAATGAGATAGGTGTCCTCCTTCTCCCCATTCTGTTGATGAGTAAACCGAGGCCAGGGAAGGGAAGTGACTTGCCCCTAGGTCACAAGGCAAGCAAGCGGCAGAGTGGAATTTGAACCCAGGTGTGTGTGACTTCACAGCCTTGTTCTTGGCCACTCTTCTGCACTGTTCTCCAGGAGATGACCAGGGACCTCCCAAAGCCCCCTCTCCAATCCCTGCCTAATCATCATGACCGAAATGTTGCTTCCACCCCAGAGGCACCAGCTCAGCTCACCTCTTCCGCCCCCTCGGCCATCCTTGCCACCCACACCCCCTGTAGTCCTGCCAACACAGTGACAGGCCAACTGCCCAAGCTGCTGAAGCACACAGTGGGTTCTCCTCTCTCAGCACCACCCCATTTAAACCCAGGTGGTGGGTTGAACAAGCGCCACACCCCGTGACTTGTCAAAACAGAGGCAGACAAGGGCCCCAGGTACACTGGCTCAAGCTAGTAAATCAGATCAGAGGGGATCCCTGGGTGGCTCAGTGGTTTAGTGCCTGCCTTCGGCCCAGGGCATGATCCTGGAGACCTGGGATCGAGTCCCACATCAGGCTCCCTGCATGGAGTCTGCTTTTCCCTCTGCCTGTGTCTCTGCCTCTCTCTCTCTGTGTCTCTCATGAATAAATAAATAAAATCTTTAAAAAAAAAAAAACAGATCAGAGTCAATCAATTTTACTTTTTTCCATGTAAAGTTTGTAATGTGACAAACCCGGCTGCAGGAAAACGGGCCAGCGTGGGGCTTGGCGGGGCGGGGGTCTGCTCCTTCCTATAAACCGAGGTGGGGCAGGAATTGGGGAGCCACAGCCCGAAGGAGAGAGAAAGGCCCTTCCTGTCCTCCTGGGCCATCCCCACCCCCTCCCAGCAGTGGGGAGAGTCAGGGGAGGCCCGAATGCCCCCGTGCTCACCACCCTCGTGGGCTAATAGAGCGGGGAGCAGCCTAATTACACAGGGGAAGAGACGGGAATTGGACTTTTTTTTTTTTTTTTTTTTTTTTTTTTTTTACAGGCTCTCCTGCCAAACCCCTCCCTGGCTCAGGAGATTAACTGAGTCTGTTCTCATACAATGTTTTAAATCTGATAACGAAAACATCCATTTCGAGGCATTTGCATAATGTACTGGCTGAGGCCGTGGTATCACCTGAATGCTGATGGGGGCACCTGGCTTGAACCTGGCCTCTCGGGCCCCCTGGGCATCCTCCCTGCCCTCCGCCCCACGGGTCGGAGCTCCTGGACGCTCTCAATCAGCAAATACTAAATGTGTACCTACTGTATGCCAGGAACTGGGCAGAGCTTTGGGGAAGCCAGGCTGCTGGTGGGGCAGCCTAGGGGACCCCTGGGTGCGCCGGCCTGGGGCTCTGGGTGCCTTCACACCCACACCCTCCACCTGTACCCACAGCATGCCTGTGAGGAAAGTGGGGGTTTTACAGGAACCTGAGGCTGGGGTTGGGAGAGGGCTCCTGCTCCAAGCCAGGAAGTCAGCAGGGTCAGAAGCTATGCCTGATGGGTCTCTGGGTTCCAAACACAGTGCTCTTCCTCTGACCCCCCGGCTGTGAGGAGAAAACCGAAAGGCGGCTTGCTGTGGGATCTTATGCCGGTATCTCGCCCTCTCTGGGCCTCGGTTTCCCTGTCCATTGAGATAATAGTGCCCTCCTGCGTCAGGAGCTTTGACCTCATGTCCCTGTTTCCTCTTGCCAGGGATCACTATTTGGTGGCTCTGGGGTCAGGCAGGTCTGGCCTTGTTCTGCGGCCGATCACCTGGAGCTGAGG